GGTTCTGGCCCATTCCTCCTGACAGAACTGGTGGAACTGGGTCAGGTTTGTTGGTCTCCTTGCTCCACTGATGTTCTCCAGGATGGAGATCAGGGCTTTGTGATGGCCACTCCACAACACTGACTCTGTTGTCCTGAAGCCTCTCTGGAGCTAATCTGGCGCTATGCTGAGGGTCATTGTCCATCTGAAGACCCATTAGTGTCCAAGCTGTAACTTCCTGCTGATGTCTGGAGATGTTGCTTCAGTATCTCCACATCATGTTCTTTCCTCCTGATGCCATCTATTGTGTGAAGGTCACCAGTCCCTCCACAGCATGATGCTGCCACCCCCGTGCTCCACAGCTGGGATGGTGTTCTCAGGCTTCAAGCTTCCTCCTTTTCCCCCCATTTTCCCAAAGGCAGCAGCGTGTTTGAGATGTGCCTTAAAATACATCCACAGGTGTTGTCAGTTAACCTATCAGAAGCTTCCAAAGCTATGACATCATCACCTGGGCTTCCCCAAATAGTTGGAAGTGAGAAAAAAACAAAACAGTTTTATGTCTTTTTATACAGTGGATGTAAACTTGTGGTTTTAACTGTATCTGGTCTACTGTATTGTGAAACTCTCCACAGCCACCATCAGCAACTCACACTATAGATGTGGCCTCTTATTAAACAGATTTGTAATAAAAAATAAATAAATAAACGCAGGATGCAAATTGTCCTCTTCTGATTTTGATTTACTTCCTTTTTTTTTTTTTTTTAGACATTTAAGGGTTACATTCTGCCAGTTGAGCTTTTAAACCAATACTTGACTTCAGAGTTAATCCACACCCTGGTCTCGTGTGGTTTTAAAGACGATCACCAGATGCTCTTTCGACCACTTATATATAAAAGTCCACTTTAAAATGCAGCTTTATTCATATGACATAATGCCACAGGTGACAAAAGAAAAGTAAGACTGATATAAACGTGGACAACTCCCCTAAAATAATTCACACAGCTCTGGGTTTATGTGTTCAACAACCACCTGCCTAAATGTCCCCCGACTTCACCACAAGCTTCAGGAAGAGTGGGACGACAATCCACATACGACGTCTTTAACTCTATGTGTGTGAACCGTTAAGGACTGTTCTGGTCTCTGAGTCCATCTGTTGTTATCATGACTATTGTGCGTACTTGGTTGTTTCACGATTCTATTCTTTCAGTCGTGTTTTTCCAATGTCAGAGAGAATGTATTTATATTTTCATACAGCGTGGCTCATTGTTAAATCCATCTAAATGGTGTTAATTCATTTTTTTAGTCTGATTTAAACAATAATCCTGAATGAATCACGTTAATAAAAATAACCTTTATTATAATGTACTGAATGTGTGAGAAAGAATCCATCTCCAGCACGCTTGCCGTACATTATAAATAAATGTGTGTTTAATACGAAGACCACACCATTGTTCAAACCCGGCGGACTATAGCCACATAACAAAGACCTGCAAATGATTTGGACTGAATAGATCCTTTCAAATTCTTTTCTCATGACAGGATGCTCCACAAATACGTCCATGCACAAAAGACTGAATAGAAGCACCGTCTATCAATCAGCGACTCTGCTTGGTATTGATTTTAGTTCACCTTGTGGTTCTCATGGTTTACCACCTTTATCTGGATTTCTTGGTAGATGTCGAGTAAAGCAGTGGTGTTATAGGCCAGCCTCATGCTTTCTAAAAGCACGACATAGAACAAAGCCAGTGAGGGTCA